TTGTCCAATTTTATTGATTATAAAAAAAATGTTGCCATAGTAAAAAAAACATTAAACGAAGAAAAGAAGAAGTCTTTTAGAAATTTATGCCAAACAATTAATAGGAACACTAAAATTTCTGACGTTTGGAAAAAATTTAAAAATTTTACAAATGGAGCTAGTCAAAGTAGTAGCTTGGTAGGTAATAAGAAGTTTTTGAATGAAACCAATGCATGTCTCTCCAAACTTTGCACCCTAAAATATATATCAGGTAATCATTTTGACCCTAGCATTCTGAACCATTCTTCGGATGATCAAAATCACATTCTTACCTCATCTTTCACCTATGAAGAACTTTTACAGGTAATTAATAACTCTAAATTTAATTCTGCACCTGGTATTGATAAAATTAACTATCAAATAATAGCATTTCTACTAGAATTTTATAAAAGCATCTTGTTAGATATATATAATGAACTATACGTAGAAGGCCTCTTCCCTAAAGAATGGACTTACTATCTGATTTCCTTTTTACCTAAACCCAAAGGTGGAGCCAGACCCATAGCTATGGCTTTTTGCCTCCTCAAGTTAATAGAAAAGATAATAAACAATAGGATGACTTGGTGGTTAGAAAACCAGAATATTCTCCCAAACCAGCAAAACGGGTTCCGAAAAGGCAGATCGTGTGCAGACAATCTGACCCAAATCACTGCTGATATCCAGAGATCTTTCTACTTAGGCCAATGTACTGTTGCTGTTTTTCTAGATATTAAAGGGGCTTTTAACAATGTATTTCCTGATATCCTGCTCAATGACTTAGTGGTATTGGGACTACCACACAGATATATATCCTTTATCAAAAACTTAATTTTTAACAGATTTTTAGTACCTATAAATTCGGGTGCTAGAGGCAAGTTCCACACAAACATGGGTCTTCCCCAAGGTCTCTGTTCCAGTCCCATACTTTATGCTCTCTACACTTCTGGTCTGAGTAGGATTATAGATAAAAGGGTATCACTTCTAAGATTTGCAGATGACGAAGTCATATATACATCGCTGAAATCTGTACGTGACGTGTTTAACCTTATGGACACAGAGGCAGGTAAAACCGAAGGATTCTTCTCAGGAAGAGGATTACAGCTAGAACCAAGCAAATGCTTCTTAATGGTTTTTAGTAAAAGTAGGTTTAAAATAGACCATCTCTCTATCAAACTCTTTAACACACGTATATTTCCTTCAGACTACGTCAAATTTTTAGGTATGTACCTAGATAAACATTTAAAGTGGCACAAACAGGTTGAATACCTAGAGGCTAAAAGTAGATTTCCTCTTAGCATCCTTGGTTGTCTACGTCGCACTTGGTGGGGAGGAGATCCCAAGACTCTTGTAATGTTGTATAGATCGAATATTGTGACTTTTTGATTTCTCCATGCTCTAAAACTTATCTCAATAGGCTGCAAGTAATACAGAACAAAGCAATTAGGTTGGCCATGGGCTACAGAAAGAGCACACCGATCAGCGTTCTTACAGACGAATCAGAGGTCCCTCTGCTGCAACACAGATCTAAGTGCCTGGGCTTGGTCTTTTTGCTTAAACTTCTATCCTTTAAACACAGCAGAACCCTTCAAAAGGTAGAAACCTTATATAATGTCTCGGAACAAAGCACTTGTTCACATAAATTTCAAAAATCCTTAATTCTTGAGTATTATGAAGAAATATGGCACCTAGAAGGCCTTATTATTCAAAGCAATATATTCCCCAAATTTTCTGTCCCTTTTTTTCTTAATTTCTTTTCTTATAACCCAGATACATCTTCTGGTATCGATATTAAATCAGCAGCTAACCCAAATTCGGTATTTAACGATCTCACTCCGGATAACAACTCGGTTTTTATTTTCACTGATGGCTCAAAGATTATATCTAACGGCCAGAGCAAAGTAAGCTTCGCTACCTGGTCTAAGCTTGATGACTTCAAGTCTTCGCATAACATCCCGGATGACTCTTCGATATTCTCAGCAGAATGTTTAGCGTTAATAAAAGCCCTCGAATTTGTTATTGCTAGAAGTGACCTTTCTTTTGAAATCTTCGCGGACTCTCTTAGTGTTTTAAACTCTCTGAAAACGATTCAAGGTCTTAAATACGAATCTCCTTTAGTCTCTCGATTGAAACAAAAAATTTACGAGGATCAAAAACGTAATAGGAATTTTCGTTTAGTTTGGATTCCTGCCCATTTGGGTATAGTAGGAAATGAAAAAGTTGATAAATTAGCCAAATTAGCAGCGGATAATGGGCCTCCCCTCAATGTTGAAATCCCTGCCACTGATCTTATCACTAGATTTAGAAATATGTGTCAAAAGTATAATAAGTCGAGCTTGTTAGCTATGTTTAAAACTAAAGGCACTTGGTACTATAAATTATTTCACAAACCTAGATTAAAACCATGGTTCTTTAATTTTAACATTTCACCAATGCTTTAACATTTTAACATTTTTAACACAATTTTAACATTTGTCTTGCGCCAAACGTCCGAGTTTCTATACACATATATGTGTATATATAAAAGTCACTCTGCTTTTGCCTTACTACAGTTACTACGCGAATAGTTCACTTACTATACAAATCGTATTATAGCTTTGAAATCAATAGTAATTTTACTCAGTCGATAGTAATTTTGTCTGCTATTACGCATCGTAAAATTTCTACGTCCAGCAAAGGTCAGATTATTTCCTATGCTGAGGATAGTAAAATCACACAGTAGTAATACATTTACGACAAATTAAAAGTATACTCAAGACAAATTTAGTTAGAATACTAGGCTTCAGCATTTTTACGTCGCAGGGCATTTTAATTTTTTAAAAAAGGAGTAGTAATTTCACTAAAGGATTTTTTACTGTGTACTCCATCTTGGTAAAGTGAAACAAAAAAATGTACAAGCTTTAATAAAAATGACATGAAAAGTTTTGTACGCTATAATATCCTATACCTAGTCATTTATGACCAAGTTGAAGTTATAATTACAGCTATTCAGCATTTTTTGGCTGTTCTATAGTTCTTGCTTGAAAACCGCTGTAGGTGTGTTATGTTAAAGTTGTAGATACGTGTCGGGAAGCCTTTATCTAATGAAAATCTTAATAAGTCAAACTTTTCTCTGCCTGTTCAAAAAGAATGCACAGCCCGATCGGTTGTGGGCCTTCTTTACGCTTTGCACTTTTAACATGTGAGCTCCTCCCCCCGTGGCTTAGGAATTGCAAGGAGATATTTACGCCACTATTACAACATATACTCTCAATACTGCTTAGTAATGTAATGTTGGCTATGTATTACTTAAATAACTATGGCTGTTGGTTATTTACACCATTGTACACAAAGTCTTCTGCTGTTATTGTCATTATTACTCGATTAGTTTGATGCAACTGTGCGTAAAAAAGAATAAGTGACCTATAAGGTCATGAGAGAGAGAGAGAGAGAGAGAGATAGATAGAGAGAGAGAGAGAGAGAGAGAAAGAGAGATACATTATTTGAGCCTGAAATTAAGCAGTGCTGCTAACAGTGTAATATTTGCTATATGTACTTTCTAAGTTCATAGCAGGCAGGATGTAGCGTTGCTAAAGAAGATGATCACCTTGTGGCAAAATTAAATAGCTATAAAATTAATGTAATGTAATTCAAATACAATTAATGTACTCTTTTTTTTTGGAAGAAAGAGAAATGCATTGAGAAACTTCGCAGAGGCAGTGGTAGTGTAGGACTCGGTGGATTTTTTTATTACACTACTCGTACTCACTTAAAACCCCCCATACCGCGTGGCTTTAGTTCCGCTCTGGAATCGCGTTAGCATTACTTTAGGGTGGAGCCAGCAGGGAAACCATCGTATCTCACAGCATTAGCGAGCAAGCTCGCCACCATTTGCTAGAGGTGTCAATCTAGTATGGTAGAATTAGCTTAAAATCTTATCGATATTTACGAAATTCTGACTAACTCGAAAAAAAATATGGTAGTAAATTAAATACATGGTAACAAATCGACGTAGAATTTAACAAGTAGAGATGTCAGCAAAAGCCCCCAAAAAATGGCAAAAATGGCCAAAACATGTTTTTCGCGTCTAGAAGACAACCGAAGAATCTTACAAAAAAGGGGGTTAGTAAAAAAGATGCGCAATTATAATACAAACAAAATGAGCCGTGTTGAGTTTCAATCAGTTGAGCCGTTTTTTCGCAAATCTTAAAAAAACTGCCATTTTGAGTCATTTTTTAAATACTTAATAACTCACGTTCTATATAATTTTAAGAACTAAAATTTGAAGACATTACAGAACTTTTGAGATAAGCATTTTGAGATTGTTTTATTTTTGTTATTCTAACTTCATCGCACATATTTGTCAGTCAAACTAGATGATATGATAAAAGAAGCTTGAATAAATTAATATACATGAGGCAAAACGACAAAAATGTTCATTTTTTTTCTTTTTTTTTTTTTTTTTCTTTATTCAATTATGTGAATCTGAAGTTAATAGTAAGGCATGCTCCACTGCAGTTACCAAGGCTTTGTCTTTCTCTTAAATTGTCCTCACTCACGCACTACTAGATCAATAAATGAGGGTGTGAGGGTTTTAAATAAGCTTTACTAATAAATTAAAAGAAGCTGTATTCAGTAACCAATGTGTAGCAGAAGTACCGTAATATCTGCGTTAAATACCTTATTCTACCAAGGATACTTTTAAGACTAGGCAAGGTACCTACATAATTTGATAAAAAAATTAAAACCCGACTTAGTTTTAAAGGTGTCTAAAGTAAAACTAAGTATTTGATGGTACCAGTGATACGTTTCGTTTGCTACACTTAGTTTGATGGAAATTGAGTCATAACGAGTTTTTAGTACTAAAAAACTTCAACAGAGAAGTGTGAGAAAAGAGACAAGTTAAGATATTATGAACAATTTTTATCATGTACATCAAATTGAGAACAATTATTATTAATATGTAGTAATGATCAAAACAGTAACCAAAATGATGGATAACTTACATTTCCTATGAGAATTGTATCAGAAATTTGGCGGGATCCGTTACTATTTTGTCGATTCACGCTGAGCTGAGGTGGATTGGTTGAGAATGTTCCACCAATTGTGACACGCTCTGGATCATTTCTGTTAAAGCTGCTATCAAAGTCTCTGCTACTACTGAAAGTAGAATTTCCAAATGCTATATTACCTCCGAAAGCCGGTTCAGTATCAAGCTTGGGTAATCCTCTAGATAACAAACTATTATTAGATTGTGCATTAACGAGAGATGCTTGGAGGTTTGCTAAGCTAGCTGCACTTGGACCAAAATTGGAGGCTAGTTCATTTGATAAAGACGTATTAAGAAGAGATGTTGTTGCTAGATTAGCTCCTAAGCCACTAGCCAGGCTAGCTTGTAAAGCAGCAGCATTAGTGTTGGAAAGAGCCGTGGCTAAAACATGAAAATATAGAAATATGTAGTCAAGATATATTATTTTAATAAATTTATGTTCAACTAAAATATAATCAAAACAATTTTGACAAAGCATATTTACAAAATCATTAAATTATTTGCCATGAAGTAGATATCGAGTGAAATACAAAAAATTAGGAGCTTACATTCAATTTAAACAAATAGTAAAGAATGATTAGTTTTAAAAACAACTGCATACATCTTTTTCGTTGTTTACAAAAAACTATTTACTTAAAAATTGGAGACATTAAATTCCCTCAAATAAATTCAAAAAAATGCATGTGACCACGAACTGATGGGGGATACTCGACGGAACGCAAACATGATATCATGTTTTTGTACAAATTCTAACAATACATTAACATATACATTAATTAATATACATATCTCCTTCTGAATGCTAAATACCAGCCTGTCTTTTATTTGATATAGGTATAAAAAAATTTTTTGAATAATTTTTTGTATAACAAATAGAATAGAATATTTAAATAGTATTAAAGAAGGTCTTCCTCCACATAAATTGAATTTAAAAATTAACGCTATTGTTATGTTGATACGAAACTTAAACATATCTGAAGGAATTTGCAATGGTACAAGATTACGAATTACAAAATTATTTAAATACAATATCGAAGCTGAAATAATCACAGGTGAATAAAAAGGAAGTAAAGTCTTTATTTCAAGAATAACACTACAAACAAACAATTCTTCTTCGCTACCATTTATGTTGTACAGAAAACAATTTCTATTTACCTTAGCTTTTTCTATGACTATCAATAAATCTCAAGGTCAAAGTTTTAATGCCTTAGGAGTATACCTTCGAAAACCATTATTTTCTCATGGGCAATTATATGTTGCATTGTCTAGATGTAGAAACAAACAAAAAATTTCATCTAAATTGAATCAGAAAACAAATTTGAAATTAAAAATATTGTTTGGAATGAAATTTTAGAGTAACAAAAAAACTATTTTATAGTTCATTACTATTTTTATACTTTCTTGCAAGTTTTCTCTTTTATCATAAAAGCAAATTTTAGTACCGTCTAGTACCCAGATTTATGTAATCATAAACAATCTGTTTTTTGTAATATGTTTTCAGATACACTATTATAGATGCAAAATTTTATCAGTGTGACAAATGTAACTCAAAATTTCGAAATCAAGAGTGTCTATCATTGCACGAAAAAATTCACAAAAAAAAATTTTTTGTATGATCTGTATAGCATTATAATATTAGACAAGAAAAACTATTTGCGTCACACAAAGGAATGCCAAAACATTGAACAAAATTTTAAGTGTATCAAATGCGAAAAGAAATTATCACTTACAAAGACATTTGAAAAGTCATGAAAAAAACGTTTAAAAAAATATTTGTCAAAATTGTGGAAAAGGTTACATAAGAGCAGAACACCTAAAAAGACATTTTAGAGCATGTAATCAAAATAAACATCGTAAGTAAAATAATTGTAACAAAATTTTTTGTTATGGTCAAATAAAATTATATGTGAAAATTAGACCACTTGTAACACTCAATATATAAGGCCTTACGAATATATTTACATTATGTATGGGGAAAATGGAGGGGAACTGGGAGAAGCGGGGGGGAGCTAGCAAAAAAGTAAGATTACTCGAAAAATGCAAGAAAATGAAAGAATAACTACCTTATTTGGGGGGAGCTGGGTAGAGCGGGGGGAGCAAAACCTCGCTTTAACTCTTACGACTATATAATATAGGAAGATTGCATGCTTATATATATCACGAATTCTAAGCTTGCCATGGTTCTCTTGCCTAATACGGCACCATCGTAAGGTAAGTGACCCTATTACCGGACAGTACCTATAACTGAACACTCATCAAATATAAGCCGATTATTTATTAAATAAGGATTGCACACTAAATGCGAGGTAATATGTACAGTTTTGAGACTTATATCCAATAATTTGAAGAGTTCTGTATTCATAAAATAATATTTTATACGAACAATCTTACTTAGAATATCATTGCTTGATACTCGATCGTTTAACAGTGGATTGCTTAAACCGTCTGCTAAGAATCACTGATAACTTGTTAAGGCTCTTATAAAAATTCTATGATATTTGAATATTATTAAATAATACTGGAAGTATCCTGGAATAGTATGGAATTATACAAGAAGTTTTAAATTTTGATATTATTAACTTTTTTATCACTAATGTGGGTGTTTACATGTAGGTACACAGGTAGTTGAAAATGCACCCGTAGTTGAACGCCGGCGTTCAGTTATAGGTACACGCACATGTGGGTTTGACCTAAAAGTGAACGTGTTCATAAAACTTAAATAACTAAATGTTGATAAAAGAAAACCATTATTTAATTTAATCTTTACTTTTTGAATGTGAGTCAAATCTGTAATTACTATTATTCAGCTACTTGGTGTTGTGATAAATAGAAAAAATTGCTTATTTTTAATTATTGTGCACTCTTAACTTAATGATACAGCAAACTATGGGAAAAATTGTAAAGAGAAAAGCTATAAAAGCAGTTGCATATTTTTTACATATTAAAAAACACATGTACGATTATGTATATTAAATATAAATTATCTATAAATTAAGTTAATTTGATAATTTTCATTCCTAAATCATAAATCTTTTTCCCATTAAAAGCACGTTCAACTTTAGGTACATAAAATTTGAACACAGGGACACCTTTTTTTTTACATGTTTAGATATAGGTACAGGGAGCTAGATATTAATAATGACTTATTTATCCTTAAACTGAATAGACAATCATTGATTAACGTTGTAATCACTTAATCACATAGCCAGTCATCACAGGATTTGAAAATAAACGCAGATCTACGGTTATTTAATTTTTATTCGTATTGAAAATTCTTAAGGTGCTTGAGGGTTCAGTTATAGGGTCACTTACCTTAATAAGTCTTCTAAAGAAACAAATACGTTTTTACGGGTTAAAACTTTCTTCTTTTTCAATTAACAAATGATAGAAATATATCAGAAACGTTGAATTACATTTACATCTAGAAACCTTTAATCTGTTTTCTAAAAAGGAAGTAAATAGATGACCCTGAGATTAAAATTACGTACTTTACAAGGTACCATGCTTCTTGTTCAAATGCATACACAAATATATTTCAAATATGATCAATGTGTAATTTTCACTGATAAAATACGTATTTATTTTAAAAATCAACGTAAAAAAAATCGGTGCTTAAACGAAAATAAATTTTTTAAAGTTTTTTTATGCCACAGGTAAGTCGAATAATGAAATAAAAAACAGGCGATTTTTTAGAATTTTGTATACGTGTATATATACTAGTGGAGCTCCGCTTCCCTGTGCACTTAGCAAGCCAACCTATCACTATTTTAACCTTCAAGTAATAGCCACTAGACTGAGATCTAATATTTTAGCAAAAGTATAATTAAGTGGCTAATTAGAAGTTAACAGCATTAGGTGCTTTAAATCTAATATTTAAGATGCCAAAAAAAATTATTAGCCACTAGACTGAGATCTAATATTTTAGCAAAAGTATAATTAAGTGGCTAATTAGAAGTTAACAGCATTAGGTGATTTAAATCTAATATTTAAGATAACATCACCATAGTTTTGATAATTCTATTTTATTTTTATGTTCGTTTACAATTGAATTAAAAATCAAAATATCCTTTTCTTTCATGTACTCCCATAACATTTTATCCATAAATACTTCAGTAGTTTATCAAAGTAACCAAAACAAGTTTATTCAACCATTTAAAAAAAAGATACTATTGAAATAAATATATTCTACAGTTATAGGTTTANATACATTTCAAACAATTTTTTACTTTCAAGAGCTTCAAACTTTGTCAATTTATGCAAAACTTATTTAGAAAAATCATTAATTCTGGCATCATGTTAGTGGAGGGTTGGATTGTCGCGCGCAGCCTCACCCCACCCCACGCCACCCCGCAACCATCTTACCGAAGTAGGACTCTTGTCACTTGAAATTGTTAATGCTACTTAATTTCTTTAAAATTTGATTGAAGATTAGCAAATACAATTTCTTAAACTGCTGTTAAAATGAAAAAAATTATTGTACATGAAACCTTTATTTAATCTCTATCGTTAAGCATTAGTTATGTACTTAACAGTAAATTTGCACTTCTTAGGAGGTACTACTACTGCATCGCAAAGGGGACAGGGATGAAAGAAAAATTATGCAAATCTAATAAAGTTAGAAAACGTAGAATAATAAGTTGGTGTAGAGGGGAAATGTAGCGGCAGACAAAGAGGGAGCGGTAGTAGGCAACTTGAAAAACCATAGAAACGAGGTACATCATGGCTACTTAATTACACATAGAGTATTTACCCACTGGAAGAATAAAAAAGAAGTGGAGGGTTAAATTAGTGCTAATCTCGTTTCGAACTCAAGACCAGCCATCAGAAAAACTATAAAAATGATATTTATCTTGGATAGAACTTTTTCTTTGTTTTACCACGTTGTTTTTACAAAGTATTTTGAAAAAAAATATGAACTTTAAAGTCTTGCTACATTTACCGAAACAAATTTTTTTTATCTATTGGTGGCCTAGCTGATTTCTATAGACAAGAATATTCTCTACTTTTTTTCTGTTGTATTATTTCTTAAATCCACGTAATACACGATTTTCGAAAAAAATTATGTATACATATTGAATTCACATATTATGTATACATATAATTATTGATCTAAAAGCTTGATTGTTTTATTTAAATTAAATAATATTATTATTAAAATTGTGTTTAATTGGATTTTCAATATACAAATAATGTCACTTTTTGAGACACTAGACATGGGTGAAAAAGAGTATACACAAATGGTGGGGTGATGGAAGAAACTTGAAGGGGAACGGGGTAGTAGGATAGCTTCTTTGAATATAATCGTATGAATGATCACGTAAAAATAAGCGAATAACTAGTTGAATTAAGGAGGAGCCGGGGAAGCCGAGACTCACTTTTGT